TCATATCCCGTCTTATGATTATTATTATGAAAAGGGGCAAAGATTTCTCTCTTTAATTCCTGCTGACAGGGGGCACTGTACTGGAGTCTAGGGGAGTCAACAGGGTGATGGTTGATGCCCAGATACACGCTGGTGCCACGTGTTTTAGCCAGGACAACTTTACTGGTGAATGCATGTATGTTACACTGGAAAAACAAAGAGACATGATGTTATGAGGAGACATGGCACTGTCATATTTAAGGGCCCAGGTGAGGTAGATGGAAAGGAGCCTTTGATTTTAGACATGTCATTATATCAGGATGATGTTGAGGTAGGATCATTGTCATGGTGAGGTAGACTTCTGAAAATTAAGTGTGAGGTTAGGAGGAGTGATGTTATGAGAGGTGATTACTCCCCCATCTGAAAGCATAAAAGTTAAAAGGGTAGGTGTGTAAAACTTGTCTCTGGTCTAGGAGTTGAACTGGAAAAAATAGGGGGAGTAGGGAAGGCAGTGGCTGTACCGGTACAGGGAAGGTAAGGGCCTAGGCTTTCAGGGATGTTACGTTTACCCAAACAGCTGAGGGTAGAAAGAACTAAGACAGTTGTCACATAGAACATTATGAAGATGATCTTACACACGATGTGGGAGTCTTTGGGAAAGACTATGAGAGTCCTGCTGTAAAAATGATCATTAATAGAACGTAAGAAATTAGGAACCAAAGTGGATAACGAAACATGACTTAGCCTGTTAACTGTGGCTGCGAGGCCTTCATGAAACGGAGATGGGTGGGTGACAGAAGATGAGATGGCCACTCAGAATGATCAGATTCAGGGCTGGGAGGGCATCTCTTAGCCCGAGTGATGTGAAACCAGGATGGGAGTCCAGCAACTTTGACCACTGTAGGGGTAGCCAAGTAGACCAGATAGGGGCCACTCCACCTCGGTTGTAGTCCTGTGGATTTAGAACATTTGAGATAAGTTAGATCTCCTGGGGATATGGGAGGATCTGGTTTGGCTTCTCCAGAGGGTTGTGGAAGGCAGAGATCAGCATGTTGTCACAGCAGGTGTCGGAGGAAGGAGAGGACTGGGACATAGCCAGGGGAGGGAGATTTTGGGGAGTAGGAAGATTGTGGAGTAAGAATGGCCTGCCATACATAAGTTCAAAAGGACTTAGGAAAGAAGGAGCCCGGGGAAGTGCCCTGAGTTTGGCTAAGACTAAGGGCAAAAGTTGCAGCCAAAGTTGGTGTAGTTCTAAAGTGAGTTTTGTAAGGTGTGTCTTTATGAGGCCATTTGCCTTTTCTACTTTTCCTGAGGATTGCAGATGGTATGGGATGTGTAGGTGCCAGCTGATGTGTAAGCTCGAGGATACCTGTTGAGTGATCTGAGAAATAAAGGCGGAACCATTATCTGACTGAATACTCTGAGGTAGACCAAACCTTGGAATCATTTCTTGTAATATAACTTTGGTAACTATATCAGCAGTTTCCCTGGTTGTGGGAAAGGCTTCTATCCATCCTGAAAAGATACAAACAAAGGTGAGAAGATATTTGAGAGTCTTGTGGCGGGGCATGTGTGTAAAATCTATCTGCCAGTCCTGACCAGGAATGTGTCCTTGAAACTGATGGGTAGGAAAGAAAGGGGGTGCCATACGTCCCTGAGGAGAGGTCCTGGCACAGAGGTCACAGGTGTGAGTAATCTTAAGAATGATAGCTCTTAGAGAAGGGTGTGTGACTGTTGGGGCTAAGAGTTTGTATAGGGCCTGTGATCCTATATGAAAACAGTTGTATAAGTCAGTGATGATGTCTAAGGCCTGTTGATGTGGGAGAACAAGTTTAGATCCCTGAAAAATCCATCCCTGAGTGTTTTGTGTGTAACCTGGTTTATGAAGTAGCTGTAACTGCTCTGGTGAATAATGAGGCTGAGGTAGACTGTTTGGGACTAATGGGAGAAGATGAGAATGGCAGGGCCCTTGTGCAGCTAACTTGGCTTGTAAATCTGCAAAGGCATTGATTGCCTTGAGCAATAGGATCTGTAGAGTTCTCTACAATGGTGTCCTCTACAATGAATAACTGCTGCCTGCTTTGGAAGTTGGGCTGCCTCTAGAAGTTTAAGGATAAGGGGAGCATTAATGATGGGGGTCCCCTGAGTGGTAATAAAAACCCGTTCTTTCCAGATAGAGGCATGAGAGTGTAAAATGCTAAATGTATACTTTGAGTCAGTATATATATTTATAATCTTGTCTTTTGCTAGTGTAAGAGCCCTTGTAAGGGCAATAAGTTCTGCCCTCTGCGACAAGGTGCCAGGTGGCAGTGGATTTGCTGCTGTAACTTTTGACTGGTTAACTATTGCGTATCCTGCCTTCTTTTGGTTGTCTGTGTTTGTTGAACTGCCATCTATGAACCATGTGTCAAAGGCTAAAGAGAGAGGTGTGCTACTGATGTGAGAGAAAGGGGTGGGAGTCATCTGTAAAAACTCAATACAGTCATGGTGAGGGTGGCCCTCTGAGGTGGGAAGTAAGGTTGCCACATTAAGAGGACCACTAGTTGCAATAGAGATGCAAGGGTCTTGAGAGAGAGCTAAGTGTACCTGTTGAAGGCGAGAAGGGGTCATTAGGGCAGGGAGCACCTTATGTGAGATAAGCTCACGTAGGTGATGAGGTGAGTGTACTGTAATAGATTGCCCTAATGTAAACTTTTTAGCTTCCTGTATCAGGAGGGCTGCAGGTGCAAGAGCTCAGAGACAAAGAGCCCATCCTTTTACTGTGTGATCTGTTTTGACAAGTAAATTACTGCTTGAAAAGAAGGTCCCTTTTTGTGTTGTAGTACACCTATAGTGTTGTGGCCCTGACAAGTAATGTATAGGATGAAAGGTTGAGTGGGATCAGGAAGGGTAAGAGCTGGAGCTTTTAGGAGAGCCTCTTTTAATTTTTGAAAGGAGGCATGTATAGGCCTAGTAGGGTCCAGGGGTCCTGATAAGGGACTCTTAGCGGCCTTGTAGAGGGGTTGAGCTAGGGCTGCAAAGTTAGGAATCCAGAGACGAAAGACATTAGGTAAACCTAGGAAAGGTGTAACCTGCTGTTTAGTTGTGGGCACCTAGAAGTCACAAAGAATTGCCTTATGATCTGAACATGGAGCGAGTGGTGGAGCGAGTGGTGGGGGTGAGAGCAAGACCTAGGTATTTGACTTTTGAGGAGGCTATCTGGGATTTAGTAGTGGAGACCCTGTATCCACGACTAGCAACGAAATTAAGAAGACTGGCTGAATGGTGTATGGCTAACATATGGGATGAAGAACATAATAGAAGATCATCTATGTATTGAAGAAGACCACTAGGTTTGAGATCAAGTTCTGTGAGGTCAGTAGTGAGAGCCTGACTAAAAAAGTGAGGACTATCTCTGAACCCTTGGGGGAGCACTGTCCAAATAAGTTGTTGAGACCTGAGAGTGTCTGGGTCAGTCCATGTGAACACAAAGAGGTCCTGGCAATCAGGGTGTAGGCGGATAGTGAAGAAGGCATCTTTAAGATCTATAACTGTAAAGTGAGTGGTGGAGGGAGGGATATGAGAGAGCATGGTATAGGGATTTGGCACGACTGGGTGAGTTGGAGTAACAGCACTATTAAGGTCCTGTACCAGGTGATAGGACCCATCAAGTTTGAGTACCAGGAGAATGGGAGTATTGTGGGGTGAATGGGTAGGTTTAAGAAAACCGTTGTCTAAAAGCCACTTAATTATGGGTTTAAGTCCCCTTAAATGTTGGGGAGTTATGGGGTATTAGGGAGCACAGGGAAAAATTGAGGAATCCCTGAGACAGATTAAAACAGGCATGGCATGTGTAGCCAGAGTGGGATTGGATGTGTCCTAAACCATGGGGTCAACCAGAGAAGGAGGAAGGGGAGAGAATGGCTTTGCGACACATTGTGAGGCTGTATGGAGGATTAGGGCTGTGGGGAGAGAGAAAGTGAAGGAAAAATTAAGCTTTTGAAGAAGGTCTCTACCTAAAAGGGGTGTGGGACATGTTGGGATTACTAGGAAGCTATGGGTAAAGAAAAGAGTCTGGAATCTACATGGGACAGGCCCAGTTTGCAAAGGCAGATTAGGCTGGCCATCAACGCCCACAACAGAAATCAAGGACTTACTACAAGGTCCTGAAAATTCAGGAAGTACACTATAAGTCGCTCCCGTATCCACAAACAGAGATATTATCTTACCTGAGACCTCCAGTGAGACTTGGGGCTCTGACAAGGTTACCGGAGTGGGGGCTGTGAGCCCCGAGCCCCATCAGTCTTCCACAGCAAGTCCAAGCAGGTCAGTCATCGAGGAATCTGGCATTGACGGAGTCTCCTGTGAGGGCAAGGGATTAGAGGATGGCTTACCCGCTCGCTGGCAGCTAGGACAGTCGCTCTTCCAATGCCCTTTAAGACTGCAGTATGGACATGGTCCTAGAGGTATGCCAGGGTTAGGGCAATCTTTTGCCCAGAGTCCTTGTTTGCTGCATTTGAAGCACGGTCCGGGCGGGACTCGGGTAGCCACACCTTGTTGTAGATTTCTTGTCTTGGGAGCTTCCAGTGCCACTGCTAAAAGGTCAGACTGATATTTGGCAAAGTTTAATTTTTGAGTTTACTTCTCCTCTTTTTGAATCTTATTTCTGTTGTTGAAGATACAGAAAGCTAATTTAAGTAGATCCCCTTGTGGAGTCTGTGTTCAACCTTTTGTAATTTTGCACGAATATCAGGAGCAGACTGGGAAGTAAAATACGAGTTAACAACAATCATCCCTTCATGAGAGTCTGGGTTTACATTAGTATACTTAAGTAAGGTTTCCCAAAGCCAATTTAGGAACACAGCCAGGTTTTCATTAGCCCCCTGGACCTGTTCTGAAAGCTTGTTATAGTTAGTATGTTTGTGAGCAATATTATTAAAGCCCACAATCAGACACTCAGTCATTTTATGTAATTTTGTTGAACCTTGTCTGTCTTAGTTATTTTTTACTCATCGCTGAGACAAAATACCTGAAGCCCAAAGTTGGGAAAGCAAAGGTTTATTTCTTACAGTTTTTGGAGGTTTCAGTCCACACTCAGTTGACTCCAAGGCAGGCAGGCATGGCTGGGCTGCCTTTCATGGTGGCTGCAAACAGCAAACTCGAACCAGCCATTACATCACATCCTGGCTCCACCCATAAGTGGGTGTAGCACTAACAGCATCAATCCAAGTACTATACAATTAATGAATAACAAGTGCACAATTCAAACTCATGAGGCCTGGGGAACACAGACATAAACCATGACATTCCATCCCTGGCCCCCAGGACTCATATACATACTTTATACAAAAGACATTTAGTCCACCTCCAAGAGTTGCCAAAGTCCTAACAGCTTCAGCATTACTGAAAAGTCCAAGTCCCAAGTCTCCTCTAAGATCTATGGCAAACTCTTAACTGTAAACCCCTGTACAAATGAAACAAGGTTAAACATTTCTGAAAAGGAAAGGCACAAGATAAACATTACCATTCCAAAAGTTACAAACAGAAGAATATAAAGTATTGGAAACAAAGCAAGTCCACATCCAGCAGGGCAAACATTAAGTCCTAGAGTTTTACACTCAGCATCTGAAGCAATCTGGTTGCAAGCTCCAAAAGGCTTGGATGATTTTACCCTCAGGGCACCTCTGGTGATTTTAACTCTCACAGCTTTTTTCTTAAATCTTCTCTGCTCGCTTTTTGCAGCTTCCCTCGGATCATCCACATTCCTGGCTTTTTTAAACTTCTGGGGTCTCCACTGCACCTCTGGCTTTACACTTACATCTTCACAAATTGCCCTCTCAGGGGCCATTGCTTGGCCAGCCAGGCCCTTTGCAATCGAGGTGGAAGCCTCTTATCCTCAGAATTTGTGCATTTTCCTTGCACCTAAAATCAGCACCTTGTGGATGCTGCCAAGGTTTGCTGCTAGCTGGAGCAGTAGCCAGGCTTTTTTCTCTGTTGGCTATAGGGGTCAATTGCCTGGATCACAGGGCTCTGTTTACCTGATTGTGAGAAAAAGCTTCTCTATGTTGCCACCATTCTGGAACCTCATGTGGCCACTGTCACCATTCTGGAACATGGCACTCTGCAGCTTTTCTCCCTGAGCAAATTTTTTTACCTTTGCTGTGAGGCTGCACAGGGTGGGGACCCGATTCTTGGGATGCCCTAGGGCCATCTTTCTTATCTCTCTGTTTCTCTTCAGGAATCAAAATCTCAGCTCTGTCTTTACAATCCACAGCCTTCCTGGAATTTTCCTTCTGGCCAAACTCACAGCATTGTGAATTATCCTGCTGGGCTCTTTGCTCCTGATTTGAAACATAAAGCTGGCTGAAAGCCCCCAACAATAGCCATGCCACAGCCTCAAGATTTGATTGCTTTTTAATTTCTTTTTCAAGATTAATCAGTCCATTGCCCTTTGTCTCAGTCTCAGGCAAAGTCTCTGGGCAGGAGCAAAATGCAAAAAAACTTTCTGCCAATCCATAACACACATCATGTGGAGTCCAACGACCAATCCAGTCCTTCTTCCCAGCAGAAACCTCCCAAGCCTGGTCTTTACCATCCAGCTTTCTATCAGCCTTCTGATCCTAAGCTGCTCTAGCTCTATGCATCCAGGCGACATGTCCAAACCTTTCCAAACTCCGCCAACAAGCCATTTCCAAAGCCTTTCAAAAAACATGGTCAGGTATAGTCACAGCAAACGACCCCACTCTCAGTACCAAATTCTGTCTTAGTTACTTTTTACTTGTCCCTGAGACAAAATACCTGAAGCCCAAAGTTGTGAAAGCAAAGGTTTATTTCTTACAGTTTTTGGAGGTTTCAGTCCACACTCAGTTGACTCCAAGGCAGGCAGGCATGGCTGGGCTGCCTTTCATGGTGGCTGCAAACAGCAAACTCGAACCAGCAAAGAGAAAAAGACACCTTCTTCCTGCCATTACATCACATCCTGGCTCCACCCCTAAGTGGGTGTAGCACTAACAGCATCAACCCAAGCACTATACAATTAACAAGTAACAAATGCACAATTCAAACTCATGAGGCCTGGGGGACACAGACATAAACCATGACACTTGTCCATTCTGATAGTTCCAGTTAGGATCTTGTTCTGGCACAACTACAGGCCCAGGGTCGTTATCAGTGGTATTTGCCTTATGCCTGGAGTCCCCTTCTTCTCGAGCTGCTTGCCAGAGCTGATTCTGTTCTTGTGAGCTGAGAATGGTATTTAGAATCACATAAACATCCTTAAAATGTAAATCATAACAATTAGTAATAAATTCAAATTGCCTGATACAATTCTGTGGGTCAACAGAGAAGCTACCTAATTTATAGGTAATCTGGGATAGATCAGAAAGAGAGAAAGGCACATGTATATTAACCAGTCCCTCAGGGCCAGCTTGCTCCCGAAGTGGTAGCAGAGCTTGAGGAGAAGATTTCGGAGTAGAGGGCCATTGGGCAGCTATCTGTCTGGTAGACGTGTGCGAGCAATTATCAATAGAGTGGCTACAGAGCGGCTGCCGGTCACCCTGGGACAAGGAAACACAGGCAGATGGCGTCTCACTGTGTGCTTTGCAGTTAGAAAATTTCTGTCAGCAGCACAATGAAGCATCATGTGCACCCCAACAGGGAAGCTGTTGCTGTTCACAAGAGGAGCCACCAGGGGGTGCCCATTGACCGTGAGATCTGTCCCAAGATGGCGGCGCCCTGTCACGTGGCAGAGGGTTGTAACATGGTAACTGTTCCCTGCGCAAGCCGGAACAATCACGAAGTTGTGGTAAGGGCATAATGACCAAGATTGGGTTTGGAGGGTGGGCGGCGAGAATGCAGTAGAGGTCAGAGAATTATCAGGAGAATGAGTCGGAGACTTTGAGGAAGCACTAACAGAGTGATTAGAGTTGCTGGGAGAGTTATGTGTCCTGGGAGACGAAGAGGAAAACGGTCGCACAGTGGGAGGTAATTGACGTGCAGAGGGACCAGGACTGCTGAGAGAATCCGAGATTGGGGGAGCAGAGGGTGGAACATGGCGGGAGGTAACGGTGAGGAACGAGTTTGGGGTTAGGCAGGCAGTGGCCGAGGAAAGACCGGAGGAAACAGTTTGCATCGAGGCAGAGCTAGCCAAAAGTATCTGGGTCGGAGTACAGGACTTAATGAGAGATGAGTGTGTTCTCAGAACCAAGAAGGTCTCAATGTATGGGAGTTCTATCAACCTGTCACTGGCCCGACAAAAATCATAGAGGTTTTTGAGAATGCAGGGGTTTGGGGGCTGGGGATTTAGCTCAACAGCATAAGCACCTGCCTTGCAAGCAGGCAGTCGTGGGTTCGATCCTGGGTGCCAATAAAAAGGAAAAAGACAAAAAAAAAAAAAAAAAAGAGAGAACGCAGGGGTCAAATGTTCCTTCCCTGGCCTTAGGATTGCTGCTAAGTGGATAGGTTGGCCAGACCTCCTGGCAGTAAAAAGTTAATTGCTTAGTTTTTATGATACTTTTAATCTTAAGAGTACGTAAATTGGAAATTAGACATTATAGAGGCATCTTTTGGAAGTTAGAGAACACGTTTCCCATAATTAATTCAGGCAAGAAAGAAGCTGTGGTCTGGAAGGCAAGCCATCACTTGTTCCATGGCACCACATGGCAGGTAAGGTTCCAAAACTCATATATTCCAGTCGTCACTGAGAGATGTACAAGTGGAGTCCACATGGGGTCAGTAACAGTTCTTCCCGTGAGAGTGTGAAGCTCTAAAGGGAAGCGAGGGCCCCCCAGTGTGGGCGGTCCAAAAGCTCTGCCTCGGGCTCCCCGAACCCAAAGGATGAGAGATTTGTGGACACAGGCTTGCCCAGAAAGACCCTGCCCTGGGCTGTCCTAAGGAAATGGAAGCGTCACAGACCCACGCGAATGAGGGAGAAAACTCGCCTAGCGCCAAGGATTCTCCAGAGAGTGCTCACCTAAAATTAATTGGCCAGTGTTGAGTTTGGGTGGGTGGTGACAGGTTAAGATCCCAGGAGAGAAAAGCGGCAGGATTTAATCTGGTTTGCGAATTGGCTGGTGACTCAACCCAGATGTGTCCCAGGAGTCAATCGCCTGCGATCGAGTCACGGCACCAAATGATAGGATTATTTCCAAAAGATGAGAAGTATAAAACAAAAGAGGTCTTTATTCTGAGAAAACGGAGAGAAAGAAACAGCACTCCCGACCGCTGGAGTCTGGCTTTCTCTCTGGTGGACACGTGGCATCAGGGGTATGTAAGTAGCCTTGGTTTGGGGTGGAACCTAAGGGGGCATCAGGGATGCACAGGCAGCCCATTGGTCCTAGGTTTGGTGCCATAGGTAGTTCCCAGGAGCAGGGAAGATGACATCACAGGTAAATTCCTAGGGGTGGGGGAGGTAGGAGCTTCCTGGTTCCGGTTGAGGCTTTTCTGGCTACAGAGTCCTGTCTGGGCCAAAACCCTTTTAATAAGATCAGTTCTTGTAAACTGTTTATAGGTTTTACGCAAGCATGAGTCTTAACATGTATTTCTATCTTTTCTATATTAGAAGGGGAAACAGAACAAAGCAGGACAGAAAACAAAAAAATATTCCTATAGACACCTAAAACTAAAAAGATATATAAAACTGCTGTACAAGGAGTTCTACCATGGTTACTGTGTTGTCTCTTGTTATCATCAATAGAATTGGCTATATCATCAGATAAAGTATAATTGAATATATCAGTACATAACAGTATTAATATAAATACAACTTTGTAGATAGTGTAGAATTACAAAAACAGGTAGCAATCAAATCAGAATGGGTGTCATAGTGAATCATTGTCATTTTCAGTATAGTTGTTTATACTCTGACTTGATACTATCAACCTCAACAGTTTTGAATAAAATCTGTCAATAACAAGCAGCAATCAAACCAGATTTAACTAAGATCAGCCATGATACAACAGTATAAGTTATACAGGGATCCAAATTAAGTTAATAGGAAATTGAAGATGATTACTGAGATATATCCTAATATTTTTGGAATAGCTGTCTGTGCCCTCAGATCTAGTGCTTGTATTCAAACTGGGATGAGAATAAGTTCTGTCTAACCAGAGTGGTGTGAGTAATATGGGTTTTAATTCCTGATACACTATTAGCAATATCTTCCGCTCTCTTTTTTAAGACCATTCCTCCCCTTTCACTCCCCCAGGGTGTACTGAGTATTTTTAGGTTTCCCCAACACCTTTGGTTTTATATTGGCAGAGTGTCTTAGTTACTTTTTACTCGTCGCTGAGACAAAATACCTGAAGCCCAAAGTTAGAAAAGGAAAGGTTTATTTCTTAGTTTTTGGAGGTTTCAGTCCACACTCAGTTGGCTCCAAGGCAGGCGGGCATGGCTGGGCCACAGTTCATGGTGGCCGGCAACAGCAAGCTGGAACCAGCAAAGAGCAAGACACACCTTCTTCCTGCCATTACATCACATCCTGGCTCCACCCCATGTGGGTGGAGCACTGACACCATCAGTCCAAGCACTAGATAATGCAAATGCACAAATGCACAATGCAAACTCATGAGGCCTGGGGGACAGACATAAACCATGACACAGGGCAACCTGCTATTTACCAAAGTGCCTCTGAACTTTCTTTCTCCTGGGCTTGATCTCTTATTTGTATTTCTTTACCTATTAAAGCCTGTGTTTCCAACCTATCCATAAATACTGGTCCAGTTGCCCCTATTACTCTCTGGTTCCCTATCACATAGAGTTCTGTTTTCTCATATTTGATTTTGGTCCATATAACCTTCAGGTTAATTTTATTGCCTTTATATAAAGAGCATCACGGTAGATCCTCTCTGCCTGTGATTCTCTCTTTTTTTCCTCAATTTAGTGTATCTAGGCCATTTATATTATATCCAACCTTCTCTGCCTCATTTCTGTTGTGTTTTTTTTTCTGTCGTTAGTTGTCTGTTTGTCTTCTTCATTTTGCTTTTTACTCCACTCATTGGGGCCTCTCTGCCATTGTTCCTGAAATCCTGGTGCTTTTCTCTCTCTTTAGAATGTCCAGTAGTATTCTCTGTAGGGTTGGATTGATGGTTGCGAATTTCCCCAGTTCCTCTTTATCTTGGAAGCATTTTGTTTCTCCATTAATTTCCAGGCACATTTTTTTCAGGGTACATCAAACTTGGCTGGAGGTTATTTTCTTTCAGGACTTGGAATACTTCACTCCACTCTCTTCTCGATTTGGTGGTTTGTGCCGAGAAGTCTGCCATAATTCTGATGGGCTTCCCCTTGTAAGTGATCTGTTTCTTGTCTCTGACAGCTTTTAATATTCTGTTCTTATATTGGATTTCTGGGATCTTGATTATTATATGCCTGGGTGTAGCTCTGTTTTGGTTGTAGGTGGCTGGAGTTCTGTATGCCTCATACATCTGAATATCTTTCCCTTTTCCTATGTTTGGGAAGTTTTTCTTAATTATTTATGTGAATAGCCTTTGTAGTTTCTTTGTTTGTACCCTTGCTTCTTCATTCACAGTCTTTATTCTTAAGTTATAGATCCTCTTGTCATCTTGTAGCCTTTGTATTGTTACTGCTTGTTTTACTTGTTATTTTTAAGAAATTTTTCCTTTCGTGATCCCACATTGCAAACCTGTCCTCTAGTTCAGATAGTCTATCTTCAGTTTCTTTCAAGCAGTTTTACCAGCTTTAAATGGAGTTTTAACTTCCTGGTAATCTCTTTGAACCTGCTTCATGTATTCTATGTTTTCTCTATTTTCTTCATTAAACAATTCTCCCCTTTTTTTGTGCTCTTCCATTCCACCATCTGTTTTTTTTTCTTGAGATGTGCTTAGCATTTCTGTGACTATTCTATTTATATATTACTTTACTTGGTTAAATACTTCACTTTTGAACTTGTCTTTGAGGTCCCAAAGATAGCTCTTTATGTCCACTGGTGCCGTGTCTGATATTGCATGTTTGCTGTCCTCATTCTCCTTTGCATTTACCTTTCCTGGATCAATGTTCTCAGGATTGGGGACTGGGAACCCTTTCTTGTTGCTTCCTCTTCTCATATTTTTTCTTCCTTCCATACAGATAGGAGGCCCAGCTTCTTTCTTTGTTGGTTACAGTTTGTCTGAAGTGCTGACTAGGTGCTCCCACCCACTGTAATGTACTACAGAGATATAGACCGGAGCAACCTATGCTGGGCCCGCCCCACTGGGTTAGTCAACCTGCTGAAAGCTTCACTGCATTAG